TAAACCCTGCTGTCTGCTTGACCATCATATCCACATAAACAGGTTTTCCTCTACTCACTGACTCACCCCTATCTTAGATTAAATATTGGCATGAAAGGACAGACAGACAGAATGTTGGCACAATTATTGATAATGGTTCAGACTCAAAAAGCCCCCTATGCAGCCAGCAGCCAGCAGGGAGGAAGTCTTTTGCTGAGCTTCCACAAACAGCCCTGTGATGTGGCAGATTGCTGCGCTCCAAGACGCCCCGCAGCAGCTGACAAGTCCTTCAGAGCTATGACAGTTGTATGCTTACTGCGTACCCACCCACAACAACAGGTGATTTATCTGGACCATGTGTCTGTCCTGTTGGTGAGCTCTGACCGTACAAGTATGCAGGCAACACCTCTGCTATGCCCATAATAGATAGTTAGCCAAAATGCCTGGTATTGCACATGATTTTGAAAGCTTAGTGTCATATGTATGAACATAACTCCTCCTAAATCTCCTGGGGTCACACCAACAACAAGTTACATGATTATATTTTGTTGCCACTGCTCATGGAAAGCAATCCCTTAATGCTCACTGCTATTTGTAGTAATTTACATTTTTTAAAATCCATCAGAAATGTATTTTTACAGTTACTAGCCATTTATTGATGTTACTTGCAATGTCAATTAAACCCTCACACTGTTCCTTTAATTAAAATATTGATCAAACAAGTCTTGTTAGGGCAATGTTACACATAAAGCTGACTCTCTGTTTTGAGTAATAGACCTGCTTCTTTGCCCTGGGCTGTTTTGGCAACCAGCAGCACACACTGCTGCCATGCCTTACTGTGGATAAAGAAAAGTAAAAGTTCACACAGAGACATGTAATACTTCTGAGAAGAGAAGGGAAAAAGTCAAATGAATCAGCAGTTTGCTAGTAATTATAAATAAAAAAAAATTTTATTGTCATTTTCCTTTCAGGAAACCAGTAGCCTTTTAAGCAGATTCAACAAGACAGAGAACACCTCTAATGCCTTGGTAATACCTCTAACAACTGTCAAATGCACTTCCTTCATTACTACAATTAGAGTGCAGAATATTCTACAACAGGCTGAACAAGGTTTTGCATGCAGGTTTGAAGTGGTAACTTGACGCTGGCCACAAAAAACAGCAGCAAAACATTGCTGTAGGACCCTTGAGCACAAGTCACTCAGACTTGTGACCTAGGTTTGGAAAAACAAATGAGGCCCAAAAATGTATGTTGTTTGAGGCCAGAAAGCAGAAACAACGTGTTATTCGACTTCCATAATGGCCTAACCTAATCAGCATGTTGTGGTTCTGATGAGGAGTTGGATATTTTCCTCTTGGCATTAACTCCAAATCAGCTCAGTATGGTTTGATTTCATTGTTGCATTTCTCCTGATGAAGACAGACATGTTAAATCAGCCTGTGAATAGGCCAACAGACAGCTGGCATCTGATGACAAGGCCCACACCATTAGCTCCATAATCACATCAAGTGCCCCTGGTGGTTATGGATGATAATACTAAAGTGAAGCTTGTGTGAACAAAAAGTCAAACATCCAGTGAAATCAACTCCAGTCACACCTCTGTCAGGTGAAGCATGAATTTAAATATTCACATTCAGCTCACCAGAACAGTCAGACCAATGCACCTCAAATGAAGAAACAGTCCACTAAAAGCGGCAATTACAGGATTACTTTGATAGTGTGTGCTTACTACAGAAACTCAATCATCTACAGCCCTAACCTATGATGAGTAACAAAACATCTTTAAATCAATATAAAACTCCACCTACTAAACGGGCTTTTTTGTATTCAGCTTATGTCTACAAATATTACATTTCTCCGAGATCACTCTCCCAGTCAGTACATCCTACATTACAGACACTCAATAAGGAAGCAACGAAATGAAACTTCATCATGATGAGCCATTACTGGCAGGTGTAGAGTCACAATTTCACAAGTGTTAAGTGACATACTGTGCTGTGGGACAGTTAGAAAATAGCACATATGGTATGGACATGCAACCAACGATTCTTTTCATTTTTTTATAATCTTACATTTAATAATTGCCCTTTTTTTTTATAACTCAGCTCATGATGATGATGTATACAAATAGACTGTTTTAACAGACTGTCAGACCACAACCAAAAATGTTTATTTTCTAACAAAGAAATACATCAAATTCTCACAATTGAGAAGCTGAGTTCAGAAGCTTTGGCATTTTTTAAGTCGAAAATACTTGTGTTCCAGTATAAAAATGCACTCTCACATTCTGCACACTTAAAATGGCAGACAATATCCTGTAGTGCACTACACACTCAAGAATGAGTGATTTTGCATAAAGCTGACAACTGCACATGCAAGCTTTCTGCCTCAACCCATAAAATAGTTTGTGTTGTTGTCACATCCTTTCAATCCAATCAATTACTGCATTTCTTGACTTTTCCACTTAAGAAGTGCTTTTTCCTCAACCAATCAGCTGGTTCCACTTCATGTGGACTGCAGACATGGTCTTCTAGGTCACAAGCATGCTGACCTGGACAGTGAATAAAATTATGCCAATTGATATCCAATTTCAGACTCAAGCTCAGTGTATTTTGCTGCTTCAACATACTTACAGTGTGGACTTTCTTAGTAACTTAACAGCCACAAACTACTGACACATTTTAGAGACATAAGGGGGGGGGGGTGCATCTGGTATTATGTAACTCTGTCCCGCAATATCTTTATTTGCAAAGCTTTCACAGGAATTCGCTCAACCTTCGATCCAACCACCCCACACTGAAGATAGGGAACATAATTATGAGCCATACAAGGTTGTGCGTGTAATACTAGGACAGACAGTCTTGAAATTATTGCTATGACATGCTAACAGCAGGAGTAGAGGAAGAGGTGACAGAGAAGATCAGAGCCCCCCCCACTCCCACTCTTGGCCTCCAACATCTGGGTGCATGGCACTCTCCCTTCACAGTGAAGGAAGAGAAGAGAACAGCTGGCCTGAGCAGCCCACAGACCCAGTACCAATATACTACACCTCGCACTGATCAGCAGCTCCCTGACCACAACAAGAAGAGATCACAGTGACACTTAGCTTACTGACAGAGCACCATGACTGTGTTGGCTGCCAAAGGATCACGCTTAAGCCCTAGTAGTCACTCTGTCTGTCAACAATCAGAGGAATAAAAATCAACCAAATTTAGCTGGAGCAAGATCTAATCATCACCACGCTGCCGGCATGAGAAAATCTAAATAAAAAATAATAATAATAATAATTCCTTTAAAAGAGTGACATAAAAAACCAACCATGCATTTTTAAACCCATTCATTTTCACATGCCTTCCTGGGTGTGGGATTAAAATAAGAGGTAGGCCTGCAACTAATTTTAATTATCAATTAACCTCAGCTGATTAACTTGCCTATGAAATGCAAGCAAATAATGACAATGCCTATCACACTTCCCTAAATCCTAAGGTAAAGTATAATTTAGCCATGTAAAAATTAACAAATCCTCACACTAGGGAATGCTGGTCATTATTCATTGAAAAATTACAATTAATCAGTTATTAAAACAGCTGCCAAATATATTTTTGGTTTACCCGTTTCAGCTATAGCCACAAAGCTAACAAAAGTCATTTGCATGCAGTCTCTGGTGCTCTAGGACATTGTGATGGACATGTTCCATTGCTTTGTTTTATGGACAAGAAAATATTTGGCAGATTAATCCATAATGAAAATAACTAGTAGCTGCAGACCTGATACCTGTAGGAGGAAAATATTGTAAAAAGACAGAGGCTTAGTTCAAGACCTGACCTTACAGCCATTCATACAAAACACACTGACATAACCTAATGGCAAAACAGTTTAAAAAAATAAAAATCACTTGCAAATTAACACTTTGATTATGAAATTTCTTTAAGTGCCAGAACATGAACCCAAAGGCCCAGGCTGCTGCAAAATGACGACTCGGGAAGTGCAAACATTTAAATTGTTTTGCGAATTCTGTGTGTAGGAATGTTTTTGTCAAGCAGGATTATCTTACATGTCGAGAGTGATAACGTGTGCTCTGTGCTTGATGAACATTTTCTCCCTTGTTTACATGCCCTGTCACAAGATCTCCATTAATGACTCAATAATGTAGAAAACTACGTGTTTTGTGCCGTTGGGTAAGTACTCCACACTCAACATGGACGGTATCACCAATATCCGTGGATTGTGGCTAACCCTGTTAGCTAGCTGCGTGGCTAGCAGAGAAACGGGAAAGAGGGCGCCAGGCAAATTGAGCCGAACTGTGCTGCCCACAAACAAGTTTCACTTATACTGCTGAGTTTTAGACAACAAAACTGAGGAGGAAACATAGAAAACAGATCCCTAAACTAGTGTATTATAATACAACTTTATAATCAACTTAACACGGTAACTCTATTGACTTCCCTTTAAACCTCTGAAAGCCTACCGTTTCAATCGAGCACTCATCAGGATAAGATTCCTAACCTTAATAACCAACTAGTTAAAGTACTCAACAAGACGGTGGCGCTATACTGGTAAAAGTAAAGTTACTAAAAACACCCAGAGCTGCTGTTTTTCTGGACTGATACCGAAACATGCGATCTCCGGAAGCACATGTCACTTGACTAGTGTAGCACGCCTAGTATCCGAGACCGTCGCTAGCAAATTGTTTTCTTTCCGTGTTAGCCCACAAGGTGTGTGCGTTCTGTCGAGGAGAGTAGTGTTAGAATTACTTAACCGAGTTTTGTTGTGGTTATATCTTTTATTATTAGAGTTACACAAACTACTTTAACTCCAAGTAAGCGTACCGTCACTGTTCGTATCACTAGCAGTGTTAGCATCCCAGTGGCCAGTTAAGCTAGCTAGAGCTAACGTTAGCCAACATCAACTCCCAACGCGCCCCGAACTATTTGTATAACGTGTAAAAACACTCCCAAATTTTTAGGTTTCTGGTGGATAGGTGTCCAAATGCAACGCAGATCGATAGTTGGAATACTCACATTGTATCGCTCGAAGCCAATAACCGACTTTCGGTGAGAGGGTGGAAATCCAGGTTGTACGCCGAAGTCATGCTCAAAACAACGTCTATCTAACAATGAGAAGCGACGTCCGCTCACTCGCAAGAGACTCAACTCCTGCGAGACGGCAAGAAGACGAAGCAGGACAGGTGCAGGGAGGGGGCGTCTTCTTCAAAAGTGCATGAGCGAGTGAGAGGCACCGGAATCCGCCTTCCTTCTAATTTCTCACTCGTCCCCGGCTGAAATAAATTCAGGCAGCCGCTGTCACACTGCACACCGAGCTGCAGCAAACCAGAGGCGTGGTCTGTTCAACAAAAGTCTGAGAGCATGCTGTCTGCGGCTGCTGCTTCATAGCTTTTACCCCAGTGTAAAATTACTGTAATGCCCCTATAGGGACTGGCACGTGGTATTCTGTACTGAGTTTACTGACCTATTTGCAGATTGTTTCATATGCTGTAAAATTATGACGTATTCCTATAATGATTCCTACAACATTTCAGGAAAACAATGGCACATTAAAAATATAAAATACTGTCAAGCCCTACTGTGAAGATAGGTTAGTCTGTGGATGAGTCAGGGATCTTACTATCCTTATTAGAAAGCCATTTAAAATGTTTAAATATAGTACCTAGGTCATTACCATGGAGGTTAATAATGCTGTCCTGTTTCCATATTTACCCAGGACTCTAAATTAGGCGCCTGGCTTTTTAATTGGGTTACATAAATAAATAAGATAGATAAATATCTCTAGCTTGTTTATTGCCTTACATTGCAGATAGGTGCATAAATCCAATCAAAAGTGGGATGGTTAAAGTGCACTTTTTCTTCCTGTCCTCAGTTTTGCTTTTCCCCAGGGTCATAGGTTATGTTCCTCTTTGTGCTGGGCTGTTGTTTCCCTGGGGGGAGGGGGAGCCTCTCTTCTTTTGTTATGCTGAACTTGCAGGGTGAGGCTTGTATGCTTTCATAGCAGAGAAAGAGGCAGAGGGGGCCTAGCCTAATTAACAAACCATTTATTATTGCTCCAGCAGCTGCACAATCCAAAAATATTATTCATAGCGAGTGTTAAGAAACAACCCACTAATACAATCCAACTTAATCCTTGTGTCCATAGCAATTTCAAGGCAACCTGGCACCAGTACACAGTGTACTATAAAAAAAGAGGTCTGTAAAAAGAAATTTATGCATAATGTGATTTGTGACCTATTTTGTCATATATGCACACAATGAAACATGCATTAACATTAAGACTGAGGGCCTACCACAGGAAAGATAGTTTAACTGTCTCTGGAGAATCAGGTTTCAGTAAAATGGAGGAGCCACGTATTTCCTTCGACTCAATTAAATCTCAGGGGATCTTATTGAATAGGTTTGTTATAAAAGGAGCAGGATTTTTGTAGAGCAGCTCCTGTTTCCAGCATGGGTACAGTGTGTACAGTACAGTTTTCTGTACAAAACATGATGCTTTTGCAACAGTTTATTTCTACCATTTGGCATGCATCTCCTTGGCTTTTCTAAGAGATTTTTGTTGGAGTGGATTCAAGAGGCAGATGCCTTGTCGCTGAAAACATTGAATACTAGCCTCCTATTCTTAATCTCAGATTATTTCTACTGTAATCCTATCATAATCCTCCACACTTAATATGCTTTTGTTGACTACTTGGAATGTTTTTCCTAATGCAGTAAAACTAAAGACATCACCATCCAGCATTTAAATGTGTGAACTTTCCTGACAAAAAGCACAGTGTAAAAAGTATGGCAGCTTCAAACGCAAAAGGGCCACCTCATATCTTATTAAACACATCATCTTGAATTTAGCACACTTAGCTCTTCCTTCCATGAAAAGCATTTGCAGAATGGCGACCAACTATAGAAATCATAAAATGGAGAGAGGGAACTTCCTTTTATCATTGCTTCCTAGAAGAAATCTACTGTCAAGATGTGCAAGTGGAAGCACCTCCTGATCAGTTTCCAGTTCCACTAAATTTATGCAAATTCCACAATGGATGCAAATGTTTCTTCTGGTTCTTTTAAAGATAACTGGTAGGCTATCTTTTGCTGTTTTTGACCGAGGGACTAGAGTAAGGCCTGGGTGTTGTTTTTCAGTGGCCAGTGTGGGCCATAGACAAACACCTGCATCACTGACATGTTCAACTTTATTTATTTATAGTATCTAACCTTTGTGGAACTTTCAATAAAAAAGGAAGGCAAATTGAATTATGTGAGAATGCAACAAGGTATTGATTCTTCTATTCCAATAAAACTATTTAAAACTAAACCGCTACAACCTGATGGAATAATAATTTTGAACAGGCAGATTCACTAGTTTCAAGTACATGGTATCAAGGTTCCTGAAAAGAAAAGAAAAAATCTATGGACACCAGAAGAACACCCTGCCCTCACTCGCAGCAGGGAGAACGCCTCAGCTGGAAACAATACATCCTATGACAATATCCAGCCCAGACAAAGAGGTAGTCCAACTATAGAGCTAGCCCAGATTTGAATGAGGGGCCAACACCAACATACCTCATAGGCAGGTCCTCATTCCTGACAGAGATCCCGGCCACAGAGGGGGGACAGCGCATGCTGTTGGCATACAAACTCTGCACCAGGGCCAGCTCAGAAGAGTGTTCCAACATCGGTGCTCTGGAGAAATCCACCCGGTGTAATGGACACTTTCTTCTCTTTCC